CGTAGATCTTTATAATAAATTGCGTTGTCCTACATCTATACAAAATTGGCTCTTTTCTGTTTTTCTGTTTTGATCAATAAAAAAATAAAAAACAAAAAAGTCTTCAATAAAGTAAAGAAGTTCTTTTTACTTGCCAACTTAATAAGAGAGTCTTATGATTATTAGTATAAAAATGTGTATATACTTTTTCAACAAATAGCTATGTCAAAGGATTTTATCTTTTGGTGTGATTAATATTAAAAAAAATCGGCAAAGGCTTTTTCTAAAAGATCCGATTATTATTTGGATCATAACTTTGGGCGAAAACTAAGTATTAGAACATAAAGCAAGTATTTATATTTACGTTAAATAACAGAGTAAATATCAAGGCATTTATTTTATATGTATTGTTGATTGTGATTAGTACATAGATAGATCAGTTCATTTATTTTATATTTTAGTGAATGGTATATAATAGTATATAGATTACCTATTTATTTTTATTTTAGTGAATAGTATATAGATAATACTTGGGTTTTTAATAATTCAAGCAAAGTATAATGGAGAAAGTTGGAACAAGAATCACCAAACAGTGAAGCAAATGTGTGGCGAGTATTGTATGCTTTATATATAACCATCAATCAATTTTGCATAATGATAAGCTTGAGTTTCTACCTTACTATGAAATTTTAGATCGCTCAAAAGGACCAAATAGCGAAGGACTTATCATAGGAACAGTTTTTTTCAATTGAAAACGAAGTAAGTAAATATATGACGAGGATTGTATGTTTTATATATAGCCACAATTTATCTTACATAATAATAAACCTTAGGTTTGTGTCTTACTATAGAATTTTAGATTACGCAAAAAGACCAAAAGTTGAAGGACTTGTCATAGGAGCAGCTTCTTTCAATTGAAATCGACTTTAGGTTAGATAAAACGTATGGCGAGGGTTGTATGATTTATTATATAACTATTAATTATTTTTGCATAATAATAAACCTTATGTTTCTATCTTACTGTGAAATTTTAGATTACTCAAAAAGATCAAAAATTGAAGGACTTGTTATGGGAGTAGCTTCTTTCAATTGAAAACGACTTTAGGCTAGGCGAAACGCGTGACGATAATTGTATAATTTATATATAATCATTAAAGATTTTTGCATGATAATAAACCTTAGGTTTTAATCTTACTGTGGAATTTTAGAACACTCAAAAAGACCAAGAATTGAAGGCTTGTCATAGGGGCAACTTCTTTCAATTGAAAAACGAAGGTTAGGCAAAATGTATGACGAGGACCATTAATTATTTTCAAATGGTGATATATATATATTAGGTTTCTACATTACTGCGAAATTTTAGACCTCTCAAAACAACAAAAAGATGGACCATATTAATCATGTAAGTTTTGTACAAGAACCACACAATTATCATTAAAAACTTAGATTATTATTAAAAGTAATTAAAAATATTATATAAAGCTTGTATAAGTATTACACAGTTTAAGTTCGTAGATAATTTGGTAATTATTATAAAAAGTTTGTTTTGAGGAATTACATATATATAATTTTCGAAAGTGCAAGATATTTTGTAAAGATAATTTTTATGGAGATAGGTTTACGCAGATCCACACTAAATTAATTTCCTGATGGACTATATATTCTATCCTTCCAAAAGCTAAAGATCTGATTGACCTTTCGGGGAATTGTCAGCATCCAGTGTGAATTCGTTAGTATTAGTATTAGCATCAATAAATAATCAAAAAAGAAATGATCTATATACTTTTTAAATGGTAATAATAATTGCAAATTTCACATTGTGTTCTCAATTTTAAAACTTGTTGCCAATTAACAAAGTTTTTTAATCAAGTTAACAGGGACTAATTTTTCCTCGGTTAGAGTCCTACGATATGGATTTATATTATTATGCAAAAAAATCAATTTGAGTCAGAAAGACTCTTGCCCGTTTTTTGCTGGAAAACTCCACATATGTAAGTATTTCAAAATGACGTTTTCAAATTGTTTTAATAAAAAATGGGGTTTTTGAGAGGAAGGCTAATTTTAGAGGTCACAATAGAACGTAATGGACTTCGGCAGAATTCCAATTTTTCAAATCCTTATTGAAAACTATTGCGTGGAAATTAAATTTGTACTGCGATAAGAATGAATTAAACAATTTTAATCAGTTAAATCAACCGATTAAAATCAATCTCTGATTTTTTCATTTGACAATACAATAAAAATATGTATATTCTACGCAAACACCTGATTCTGTCAATAATTCATGCAGATTATACGTATTAGTATATTGTTTTTTGTATCAAATAAATAAAGTGCATCACCCAAGTAACAATAATACCAAGGCCACGCAAAATGAAAGAAATATTCAAGTAATCAAATTTGAAAAACTATTTCTGAATAATAATGATATTAAATCTAAATATTGATTGATCTTAGGTGTATCAGATTTAATAAGATTTCCCTTTCATGAACATGTAGGCGCTTTCTTCTACGAGGTGTGAATTACCGACAAGTCAGAGGCTTCAAACAAGTGAGAGACTTTGACGGTCTCCTTGATAACAATGCAATTTAACAAATTTTAGAGCCAACGTAACCCTCTGAAATTTGATTGCACCATCATACACTTAGATCGTGAGGTTATGCTAGTCTTTGTATTTAAGAGATATCAGAATTTTTTAAATATTTGGGCCCAAAGTAATTTCCAAAGAATCGGTTTTTTTTTGATGCCCAAGGGCAGTTTTTCACGTATTCGATGGCTTTGATTGTTACCTTTACCTTTGACTTTTCTTAAATTTAATATATTAATATATAATATAATTACGAATATTGGTCAAGATTGATTATTATTACGGCGAACATAATTACCATAACGTATATTATTTAAAGATAACATGTTACCAATACTATCAATATATCAACACAAAAAGGTATCTCTGGTTATTAATAAATAAATAATTTTAATTAATTAAATGATTATGTTTGAGTAAAAACACGAATACATCAATTTTTATTTTTTACTTATTTCGGAGAGATTTCTTCTTGGATTGAAAGTTAGAAAGCTGTTTTAAATCAAAATAACGCAAAGAAAAAAATAATAGATAAAAAAAATGACTATCTTGTTAATCGCTGGAAGACTGTGAGGCTGGAAACTGGAACAAAGACATTTCTAAATTTGGACAATTATCCCCAACATTATTTTAAAGAACTGGGTTTTCCGGTAGTACCAGATTCAAACCGGATTTTATTTAGTATAGTGATAGCTTGCATATAAAATAGGGCCTCCGAATAGCATGCCATCAGACCCTTTTCTATAATAAACATAATAAGTGATTTTAGGCATATTAATATTATTCGCTATTGTCAAAGGCAGACCTCTATTTCGGGCCATTATAAAATATAAAATAATACAATTTCGAATATATATTTATTTATACTAGTAGAACTATATTTGTTTACGTGTTTATTTTTTTAATGTGATGCTTTTTTTACAATTTCAAAAATGCCAAAAAAATATATTAAACATAGAAAAAGAGAAAATAATGAAAAAGAAATTGCTGGATAAGTGTTTGTTAAAAGAATGGTTGTGGTTATTGCCACTCATTGTCACTCTACAGTCGGCGCTCGATATAGTGAAGTTTTGGCTAGTACAAATTTGGAAACTATCTGCATTAATATCCAATAAAATTCAATTTTTCTGAAGATGGTTTTCAAATTTGTACTAGACAAAACTTCACTATATCGAGCACTGACTGTAGTTTCTTTTTTAAAAATAAAAAACAATGCCACCAAACGCCTTTAAAAAAAGAATAAAGGAAAAAAATCAAAATCAAAATGAGTAAGTGTTTATTTATCATAAGAATGGTGTTATTGCCACTTGTCATCACTCTAGTTAACCAATAATAATACCTATCATTATTCACATTCTTTTTCTTCTTACAATGTGAACAGTCAAGTAAATATACAGAGGCCTGGTACAGAGTACAGTCAACCCCCCTAAGTGCACCCCCTCGGGAATGAGTGAGAGCGTGCATTTAGGGAATTAAAGCATTTTATTGGCTGCACATATTGGTGACTCATGTGACACTAATTAAAATTTTTAAATTACAAAAAAAAATTCAAGACATGAATCTATCTATTGTAATTTGTTCCATTGTATTTATTTTTTTTAAATTAATATATTTTTCAAGAGAATTAACTGATTTTGCTTGTTCATTATATGGACAATTTCCAAACTTGTTAACTATGGTAGAAATAGGTTGATAAGAATGTTAGTTAAAATGGTTTTTGAAAAAATCAATTTTAGTAAGCAATTTTGGATTTACAATATTCTTTGTATCAATAGACATAAAAAATCTACCCAGCCTTTTAATATTTAATTAAAGAGTCCAAATAACTTCAGATACAATTTTGGCAATTAATAAAATTAACTTCAGCATTTATGAAAAACTATTTCACCATTATTAGGAGAGCCAACTTCAGCTAACATGCTTACACTTGACTCAATTGAGTGACTTTTTGATGTAATTAATTGAGTCATATGAAAAACATATAAGTAATTGAGTCAAGATACAATTAAAAATTGAATCAAGTCAAAGCCAATTTAAAAATTTTCTAAGGTTACATGATTAACAATGCATAAAATCTCGTGAAAGTCACAGGTGTGCATTTAAGGAGGGTGGTTTTATATAGTTGGGAATGAAAAAAGACCGTGCAGTGCAGGTATAAAGGGGTGCACTTATCTCTTAAGTCCCAAGCTTTGGAATGAGTGAAAGCATGTATTTAGAGAGGGTGTGCATTTATGGGGGTGTATTTAGGGGGTTTACTGTATTGAGAACCCTGAGCTGTGTGTGAATACAGGGAGATTTATATATTGGACTTTTATATTTTATTTTATATATTTATTGGACATATCACAAGCTGTATTTTACATGCTCGCAATAGTATCATTACCTATTAAAGAGGACAGTCCAGGATTCAATTCTATCAGTAGAATATAACTAATGATAAAACTAGCAGTAAGTATATTATTATTAGTATCATTATATTTAATATCAAATTTAATGATTTCTAAATTAATTGACCAATTTAGTTTGGAATAAAAGAAACTCTAAAAATATATGATCTAATAAAAGAAACAACAAAAAATATCCAAAGATCAAACTACAAACACATTTCTCAATACCAAAAGGATTATTTAGACAAAACCAAATTATTATCAGAAAAAATATGAATGATTTTAAATGTTTATTAATTACAACACGCTCTCCTATTATATAAATTTAACTTTTGATATTATTATATTGACTTTAAATGATTACAGTATATATATAATCTTTTTGTTTTTGAAAAAAAGGCAAAAATATATAATTCAATTATATGATTTGACCATTTCACTATATTTTTGAATTGCTTCTTCAGATTTTGTCAAGTATTGTTGATTCATTACTATTAAAAAAAACCATTAATATCATAATTTTGTGAATATTATTTATATAAATAAAAAAATTTCTGACAGAAAGAAAAATAATATACCTGTTCGAAATATGCATTTTGTTGATGAGGTTCTTCTTTTTTTCTTGTGAAAACCTCTTAATGTTGAAATCATAGTGGCTAAAGTTGTCCGTTTACTAATATCATACTCCCATGACTTAGTTATTCTAGTTATCAAAGATGTATATTGTGGTAGTAAGTTTTTTGGAAAACTTTCACATGCATTTTTATATTTCAAATGTTCATATAAATGCTCAATTTCTATTTCCTCATATGGCAAAGCACCTGTTGCATTAAATATTTCCCAAATCAACATTCCCAAACTATAATAATCTGATTCAACTGTGCAGTAATGCTTTTCGTTGTATAAACGCTGTGGTTCATGCCATCTTTTCCTAACTTGATTATTGATACTGTTTGGTAAACATGGTTTAACAATTTTGTGCTTATTCGACACATATACACTGTATAAAAAATTGGAAATTTTTGGTTTTGGAAATTCACCCCTGAATCCATTTTTAAACAGATATATATTGCTACTCCTCAAGTCCAAATGCAAAATGTGTTTCTTTAATGAAATTTTTTAAAAAAGAAATAGGTTGAGAATTAAAGGAATGTTTATATAGAAGAAAGTGCAAAAAAATAAAGTTATAAATAGCTCATAAACTTACTTCATGTAGAAATTCAAGTCCAAAACATATATCTAAAGACAAGCTTAGTTTGGCATCCAAAGTCAGTTTTTCATTTTCAGGCAAATTTTCATTGTTTTTTAAATAATTGTACAAATTTCCATAGTTAGCATATTCATAATGAAGTATTGGTTTGAATTTGTCTACAGTGAACCCTAGAAATTTTAAAATATAATCTGAGCCATTCAAATTTTGTTCACTATACATATAAATTTCTTTCTCTATGCAATCTATATTATCTTCATTATTGAAACATCTGGAATCTAACTCTTTTCCAAAAACCAGAATTTTTCCTTTTAACCTTCTATTTTTTATCACTAAAATATCATTAAAGAGTGTTTTATCTTCACACTTGTTGTCATTATTATAGGCTAAGTTACTGCTGATGTTATTCAATTCATTTTCGTTTTCTCTGCCATCAACAAAAATTGTAGATGTTATATACCATTCTTTTAAAATAATTTGCTTTATAAATTTATTAGATTGAGAAATTTTATTTAAAGTCTTAGAACTTGAATTAAGTTTATTTAAATTTTGTTCAATGTCATTTTGATTATTCTTTTCCAAACATTTTATTAACCCAGCATAAAATTCATTTAATGCATTAGTTTCTTTAATAATCCTAAAAATCCTAAAACAAAAACAACATATTTATATCAGATATAATTAAAATTAAAATCAAAATAGTAAATTTCAATTGGCATAAATCAATTATATAAATACTTATTAACAACTGGTAGATCATTGAAATAATTAATTACTTGGCCCATGAGTTTGTTTGTTGCTTTTACTTGTGTATTTTTTTTTAAGAAGAGAAGATGTAAATAATTAAAAAAAAAATTTTTTTAGCAGAAAGTTAAATGATTAATTAATTAAAATAATTTTACATACCATAACAATATCGATAAATCACTGTTAAAAAATAGACATAACCAATAATATACCTTTCTAGTATGGTTTGTAAGAGCTTTTTTTGATCACTGGAATCCCATTTCTGATGAAGATCCTTAAGATTTTCCAAATTTTCATGCATATATTGTGTAACTTTTTTAGTTTTATCAGTGTCAAAATGAATGCATTCAGATGATGACACATTACTAAAAACATCTAGAAGAATGTCATTAACCAACTTCATCAATGGAACCAGGCTATAAATATTCATAATAATAATCGAATCTTTGGAATTTGATCTAGCTAATGGAATAGGCAGTGATGAACATGGCACTTCTTGATGAAAATTGTCTTGATATTTGTCAGGTGGATGTGTTGGGCTGCGATAAGATTGAATAGGGGTTTGAGGGGCTGAAAGGATCTGAGAGTTTGGAGGGGTTGAAGGGGCTGAAATGATCTGAGAGTTTGTAGGGGTTGAAGGGGCTGAAGGAGCTGGAGAGTTTGGAAGAGATGAATTTGGAAAAAATGGCTTGGCTGGGCGATTTGGAAAGTGTATATAACTGTTATCATTTTGATGCTCATCACATAACCATATGACATTCTGGTTTTTTTTTATTTATGCATTGGACTAAGCCTCCAAAATTTCCAGATTTTTGTTTGCTTTTAACAAAACCTATGCAAAGCAAAGAATAATTATAATTGTAATTAGTTATGATAAAAATCGTAGTGTTTTTAGGGAGACAATTTCATGAATCTACTTACTTGCTAAAGCATGTATTCCAGAAGCATTTAAAATTTGACAATTACTTTCTTTATCATGTTCCAATGGAAATAAATCAGGATTAGTATCATTGATTTCTTTTACTCCAACACCTATTGTATCAATTGTCTCTTGAAAATATTGTACAACTTCATTTCTGTTGCCAATTTTTATATTAAATGTTCCTAAAAGAACATTGCTTATTTCTTGTGGAAATAAATTGCTAGTCTCAATGCATGATCCAAATACTAAGGCTTTAATGCTAATGATGATAATTTATTTATTACTCAATTTTAAAGAAACTCATTTTTTGTAATTTGTACCAGTTAATTTAATTAAAAATTTTTACCACAATTGTATCCAAGGTCCATATTTTTTAATGAATTCAGGAACTTTTCTGATTATATAGCCCTCTTGTTTTGGTACATGCCAATTATCATTGTGTTCACATACAAAATACATTCTGAATGGATTTGTGTACCAGGACCTGCAAAAAATAATTACAAAATAATTATTTGAAAAATGTTCTTTTATGATCAAATGATAAATCTAGTAAATTTTACTTACATTGGATTTTTAAACTCATGATGTTCAGGCACTATTATAAAAACTCGAGGTGTTTTCTCATTCTGTGTTTTCATTAACTAAAATTCATGTGTTAATCACATGATTGACCATAAACAAACAAACAAACAAATTACAAATAATAAATACCATTCGCAGAATCGTTTCAGTGAGGTTTAACACAGAGGTCTTAACCTCATCTAATTTCTTATTCATATCTTTCAAACTTAATTTCATTTCTTGATGATATCTTTCTAAGAACAATAAAAATTGTTCCTATATACATACAACAGCATAATAATTATTCATATGCAAATTTTATATTTATAATAATTATAATTTGAAACTCCACCTGTTGTAAATCAAAATTCATTTGTTTTAGTTCATCATCTTTTATATCTGGATTAAGTTCTTTGACCTCTTTTTCAATTTGCACTTTACATTTTTCATGATAAGTCTGTTCTAAAGAAACAAAGAATAGAAAAAGATTATTATTATTCATCACGCCTACTCATACTAAGAAAAGAATAGTTGCTTTCTACAATGGTTTTATTTTGGGCATGGTTAAAATCACCTTGAACATTGACTTTTGATAATTTCTCATAATATATTGTTTCCTTTATAAAAAATTACAACATTAATAAACTTTAAAAAAGTAATTGCTTTTCTAATAAAATTTTGTTCTTACCTTAAATTGAACTAAAGTCATTCTAAAATGATTTTATAGAAAAAGAAAATGATTAACTAACTGTGTGTATGTAAATAATAATATTAAAGCTATAAAACATTAAAATGGATTTATACCTGTTATTAACATTTTTTTCCAACAAATTCTCAATAACATAAACAGTGTGAGAATCCTCAGTAGTAGTTATTAATTTTTTATCAGGCCATTTTTGATCAGTAATATTCCAATAACCATTTTCAATGTAATATAAAATTAATCCAAATGAGAACATATCCATGGAAAATTGTGCTTTTGTATGTCCTCCATCCTTTTCAGCTTGTATTAATTCAGGACTGCAATATTTTATTGTTGTGGTTTTAGACACACAGGTTTTATCTGCTGTACATACAGAATCAAAACCTACCAATTTCCAGTTTTCATCATAAAAATACATTATATTTTTTGGTGATAAATCCAAGTGAACTAATTTATTTATGAGAAATGAGAATTAGCTTCATCAGAACCCCACAAACTTCATAGATAAGTCAGCAACAAAAATTCCTGTTTGTTATATGTTTTGACCCTTAAGGCTTGCATTAACATTAGAAAAAAGAACATAATTTGACCCATAATATATACCAACACTAAAAATTTTGAAACTGTCTAAACAAAAATAAATTTTACCAATTGATTGATTTAACTGATGTTAATCACTAATTTTTATAATTTATAATTTTTTTTAATATAAAAGATTTGATGTGTCTTTTTGAATGAGCACATAAAGAAAAAATTTTGTTGCACGAAATTTTTGGTTCCCTATTAAACCTAACCAACCTTTTTTGATGAATAATAATAAATTAATTGACCTGTTATTATTACATTCGTAAATTTTATAATTTGACCCTATTATAATCACTGACAAAAAATTTTAAATTATAATATGAACTTGACCAGCTGCGGCAGTAACCTATCTATGAAATTTGCGGGGTCCTGCTTCATCAACATAAATAAATGAATAATTAAATATGCATATTAATATATAAACAATTACCAATATTTTGATGTTGACATTCAGATAATGCTGCCACAATGTCCTACGAAATGTTTTTTAAGATACGTGTAATATAAATTTTAAGTTTTAGATTTTAGATTTAGATTTTTATGAGCAA